AATATTACGATCTACTCTCCTCTGCTACGGGTTGACGGCAAGATCCCAATTTATAGTTGCAATGTCAAGATGTAACCGTAAGTTCTGTGCTAACAGTTTCTTCTCTCGCTTGTGGAACTCTCCTCCGACTTCTTGCTTTTCAGTCAACGCTGATCTTCAGAAACTTAAATACAATGTCAATCGTTATCTTCTGTCTTAAATTCTGTTCTTACGTCTTAATGTTTTCTTTATATTCTTCCGCGTCCAGTAACTCTGGTGCGTGTTAGTGGCTTTGTTACCTTACTTGAGGTGAAACGATTAAAAAGAAACATTACTACAGACGTTATTATAGTGAATATTACTTAATCGAAATAGGCGGTTCATTTTTATTTATTTATTAAACTGTGTATTAAGTCTATTTGAGATGCGAGTATCCACTATAATAATGTTTGATGTAATTAAAAAAAAAACAAAAAAAAAACGTCGGATTAAAAAATAAACCTATTAATTCCATTTAAATTTTTAAAGATCATAGTTGGCAGGAAAGCAAGCAGAAGGAAAAGAGATCCACAAGCTATAAGTGCGAGAGAACAAACTATTAGTCTAGAGCTTAGTTACATCTAGCAATTTCAACAGTGAAATTGAGACCTGTGTGTCACTCTAGTATTGCGCTTAAATACCAACAGGAGAGCTTATTAGAACAATTACCGTGAAAAGGGGGAAAGCGATTGAAGCCAATGCCAGGTCAGGATTGATAACATTGCAGATTCCCCTTTGTGTTTCTCTTTTTTTTTTTTTTCTTTTTTTAAAAAAACAATTATGTTCACCCAGAACAAGGTTCAGGATCCACTCGATGTAGTGTTACAGAATAATAGGCACAGTTTATATGTGGGAAAGATCATGTTTAATCCTAGACTTGGACAAAATAAGATTGTAGGAGTCCGGAGAATCCTTTTGGGAGTAACTTCCACAAAGCAGCGATTCGTAGGAAGAAGCTATTCGAATGGAACTTACATACCACCAATAGAATAAAAAGATGTATATATCTCAGAATCACCAAATATGGCAGCAATATTTGATGCACGGACAAATTGTAGGTTTATAAATGTTTGTCGATGAAAATTGTCTAGTACGACATCTAGTGAACAGACAGTAGACTTAGTAACTGGTCCAATATAATCGTTCTATATCGTATGAGTAGAAAACCTGCGATCGAAAAACAGAATGAATTGCTCTCCTGGAGCATTTGTAATTTTGTAGATATTACTCCTAAAATGGGCGTATGGGAGATCTCAGAAAGCAAAAAATTTTGAATTGGATTGGGAAAGATGTTCTCTTATACATATATTCAAGCGCCCAACCAAGAACAAACTGTCTTTTGTAGATTTTCTGATCAACCATACTGATAAAAAAACTTCTAGAAGATGATTAAGACCAGTTTCGTTTTGGAGGCGTTAAAATTAACAAGCTATTATCGAGAAAATAATAAAAATGGCGACACCTTTGGTATGATGGCAGGGGGTGGAGAAGGCGTGGAATAATGGACATTAAAAGGTTCAACCAGATTTGGTGGGGGGAAGGGAAGAGATGAATTTATGCAATTTTCCGAGGGTCTATCGGATCAAGTTTGTAGCCATAAAAGTGTGAAATAGTATGACGTGTAAAAAAGAAAAAACAAACAAAAAAAACAAAAACTCGACTATTATTTTGCTGGTTATAGAGCCTAATGTGTGTGAGTTACCTTTCTTTATCTGTGTATGTAAGTGTGGTGGGATATCTGTATAGAATGAAAACAAATCGCGAAATCGATAATGTAGCATTTAATAATGTATCGCTCACGAAAAATTAATAAGATGATGTTATCAACAACTTAATAAATATCTGACAGCTGTTCAGGGAGAAGTGAGTGGGAGGGAAAAGGTAAAAAAAAAATAAAATCCCTGTATACTTCATGGGATTATATTGCATGTCAAGAAGAAAACTATTCTTTTTCATGAGTGAACAAAATTATTATTATAATAACAACATTTGCTTTCCAGTTACGCCTCCCTCGATTTAAATAACCGGTGTTCGGTTTATTTCTCTCTCTCTAAAAGAAACGAACTTGTAGCTGTGTGTGTCTCTCTCTCTCTCACTCAGTCTCTCTCTCACCATCCCTTGTATTCTGATTTCAGCTCTATACATATCATTATAGAAATAGGTTTTCAAAATTTTTGATCAGTTCCTTATAAAAACAGGCAAGAGACTTCCCAAAGCAAAAGTCTTTTCTTTTTTTATTATTTTAGGATTTCAGATGAGGTAAACATGCATGTTGATGATACAAAAAAAATAAAGACAAAATCTCTGTAAAGTTACTTTATTCTTAAGTCGATGATCAGAATCACAGCACACGTCTCAGAATCCAATCAATTTCTATGAGAGAAGGCACTTAAATGCGCGTCTTCAATCAACAGCAAGTCGGTAAAAAAACACGCAAGGTGACGTTCCTGTGTCTACAAGTAGCGCTAATCTATAAGTAATTCGTTACCATAAACACGTCAACACATCAGTGCTTGTGTGTATTTATGTATTTATATAGGGGGGAAGAATAAATTTAATGTCCTCTCAATTCCAGGTTAGACAATAGTCACATTAAGTGACTCCAATTCGTTTTTTTTTTCTCCTCAGTTTAACTACAGATCCTAGTAGTAATATAGATGAGTATAACCTCTGCACATTCACGATATTAATGGCTAACTAACTAATTTCGTGCAATTAATGTGTTTCAATATAGAACTTTTCAGGCTTTTTCATAAGGCAGATTTTTTTTAAAAAAGTTTTCTTGGTTTGGTTGCTTTCAGGAAAAGGACGAATTGTTTGCTGTCAGCACCGATATTCAAAAATGCAAGTCATATTGGCCACACGCTTACACTTTACACTGACAACATGTTCTCAAAAAAAAAGCAAATGTAAGATAACACACCGGCGTTGTTACGTTATGTCTGTAACCTTTTCATGGCGCTTGTTTTAGGCTATTTCACGTGACGCCATAATTTTAACGTTGAAACATGTGAGGAATTTCTTGTTTGGAATTGGCGTGGTACCATTTAATGATCGATGTTGGGAAAATATCACAAAAATTTAAGTGACGACGAATTTTTTTTTTCTCTTAGATTGTGAGTCCCTTTCAACAGTGGGCAATTTATAGCCAAGAGATGGAATAAACAATTTTTTTAATAACATAATCTGAAAGGTAACAATTTAGAAAAAAACCACCAAAAATGGACGGTTCGTTTTTTCAGAAATTAATAAAAAATATAAAGCCGTATACCGCAACAGTTTCATGGTATATTTGTGTTTAACTCCTACCATTTGTAATTTTGTAGATATTACTCCTAAAATGGTGTATGGGAGATCTCAAAGGGAGCAAAAAAAAAAATTTTTAGGTGGGGGGATTGGATTAGGAAAGAAGTTCTCTTATACACATAATCAAGCGCTCAAGAGAAACCAGGAACAACTGTCTTTTGTAGATTTCCTGATATTAGAATGATAATTGTGATGAAGTAGTGATGGTGGTGGTAACAATAGCTAAACAACAACAACCACAACAATATTGCATATAATGCAAAAAATCTAATCAACAAAATCGGTAAACGCAATCCTGATAAATCACCTGCATCTCTGCCTGCAATTAAAAAAATCCAAAAACTTCAGGCATTTCTGAATAAAAAGTTCGATAATGCAAGGCGTATGTGAGACAACAGCAATTCTATTTAAAAAAAAAAAAAAATGGCGGAAACGTTGCATTTTCCACTCCACCAACCCAAAAGGGTTGTCTACTATTAAAACAAACGTATCTATAGTTTGAAACGTCTATATTGAAACACATTCAAAAAGAAAAAAATCAAAGTTCTGGCTTTCACTCCGAAACCAATCATTATGAGGGTTGTCTTATTCCCTGCCCTAAAAACTAACATCTAAAGCTTGCTGGCTGCTTTCGCAAACTCTTTTTTAGCAGTCTACCCGCACTAAACACATTTCCTGAATACTACAACATCTAAGTATTATTCTACCCTTTTTTTTTCTTTTCGTGACAAATACATTCATTTTTTTTCCGCACGAAAAAGGACAAGCTCAGAAACACAGTCCTTAAGACGTCGAATCTGGAACATTCTGCAGTCGATTCTTGGCCAAAATGAAGATAACATGCTTTTCAGATGCCATCATTTCTGACAGAACCATGTTACCTGATTAATGTGACTTGTTAAGTTCAGTCTATTAGAAAATTAAATCAGCGGAAGCCTAAATATTAAGCTTTTATCAAGAGATTATGCTAGCTGTCTCTGTTTCACGTAATTTGCGGTCAATCTCTCGATAAAGTTCTTGCGAGATCTCACCAGTTAACAGTTTGTAAAGGAAGGAAGTGTTCGTCTTCTGAACTCCGTTCCAGTTCTTATTATTACAACTACTACTACCGCTATTACTACCTGCTGGAGAACTCTGTCCAGCATTGTCTCCGTTGATTGGGATCATTCCGCGTAAGTATTTTTCCAATTCTGAAACGTCTCCCCTTTCGCTGCGAAACGCCTGGCTCGGTAAGGGTGTTTTAAAAATGTGTTTTTTGGGATCGGCAGTCGAACTGTGTGATGCAACGGCCGTTTCTTTCATATTGTTTACGTTTCCAAAATATCTGCTATCAGTTTTTCGATGGAGGGAGGCAGATTGGACGAAGGTAGGTTGACGCTGATTTGAAACCGGATTAGAAGAGGTAGATGACAATGGGTGTGACAAATGACCAGTAAGTACTTTTCGGAGACAGTTGCCCTTTGAGATGACTTCAGGAGCGGCAAACATGTCTTTCTTTTTTGCACTTCTTGAAGTCTTAATCTGGTTATAGTCCGAGTGACGTTGGATAACGACGGACGGATCAGAATGCGATTGTAATCTTAAACGACTGTTTGTACGGCTTTCTTTGTCCTTGTCCTTATCATGGGAATAGGTCTGGAGCTTTTTTGAAAGGCTGCCGATTTTGCTGCCTGGTTTTACGAAAAGTTTCGGGGCGTTGTATGAATGCTCACTGGAGAGCCGTCGTTCAGGTTCACGAAAACAATTAATCTGCTTTCTGCATGTGAGTAAGATATTTCGCGAATAGGTACTTGAAGAGGAGGAGGAAGATGTGGAAGAAGGTGCTGAATTGGAGGAGGATGTAGAAGATGCTACAGTTTGGGATGCCGCTGAAAATGTCGAGGAAGATGAGGAGGAAGATGTAGATTCAGATGCTTTTGAATTTTCATTAACCATGGGAATGAGGTAATCCATATCGTCAAAGTAACTTGTTGATTCGAACATGTCGGCTGAAGAACTTCCAAATAAGGACTGCTCTGTAGAAGACTTGAAACCATGGTCGAAGGTGCCAGTACTGGAAGTGGGCTCCGGAATGTCGCTGCTTTCCGCAATATCTTTAGAAGATGATACAAAGTCATCAAAAAGTGGTTTTAGTTTATTATCAAATAAATTGGGAGTTTCCCTATAACTAGACGTGCATATACTAGCATTTGGGTTACCGGAAAATATGTCGCCGTTCATGAGATCTGAGCTAAAGAAGGTATCGATGTCAAACGAAGCAATCTCCTCCGAGGACGGAATATCGGATTGCAGATAATTTGAAATATCCGACTGTAGATCCTCGGAATTGCTCATGAGCTGGTTGATAAGAGTCTCAATCCGTGTGTTATCGTCACTCTCGAAATCGTTTAGCGAGCCTTCACTGAAAGCGGAGTCTGGTGAAGAAACTTCAAAATGGTTTTTCTCGAACGACGAAGACATTTTGGAAATGTCCAGCGACCCGGTGAGCGAGCTTTCATCAGTTACTTGATAACACGGGTCAGTGAGAGTGACTTTAGAGTCTGTCGATGTCGCCAGTAAAGAATCGATTCCTCGGTCTTCGGAAATGGGGTCTTGAATGAGAGAGATGTCCGAAATAAAACTTTCGGAGCTGGAAGAACGAGCATTTTGTTCCATGAAGTCATTCGGAAAGACTACATTTTGTTTGAAGTTTTCACTGAAATAATTATGTTCTCTCGTCAAGTTTCGAGTAATACTGCAATCGGTTAAAGAACCCATGCAGTTGGCAGTGCGCAAGTTACTAGATTCCTGCATGATGTCCATCAGAGCGTCATGGTTACGGCTGGTCACAATATAGATTCAGTGACCCAAAATCTGTCATAAAATAGAACTTTTTTTCTTTTTTTTTTTTTAAATCGGTGTGGAGGCTGAAGTCTTATCAATAAAATCCGCTGTTTAACGTGACAGTCTGCTTGGAAGAATTAAACGCAGAAATATAGTTTTTTTTCTTTTTAAATGGTTTTGGAATGATTGCACAATGTATGGTTTCTTTTCTTTTTAAATAAATTGTAATAAAATTCACTATTTTCGATGAATGATTTCAAAGTTCAGTCGCTTAAAGAATATCCACAGAATATGAATGGCAGTTTTTGTTGAAGTTATTTTCAATGTGGAAGGCGAATCTGAAAAAGAGAAAAAAATTATATAATAATCACATTTATATAGAAAATTTGATATTCAAAAATTATTACATGGCATTGAAATGAAAAAAAAAACCCCAAAAAACAAAGAAACGGCATGAGTTGTTAGTTTCAAGAATTTTTTTTTTTTTTTTTAGACCTGTCTCAAAGATGTTACATTTGCATGTTTTCTTTTGATTACTACTAACACGTGCCCAAACAGCAACTTAGTGTTAATACGTTTAAACCTATCAGTAAAGATTTTTAAATAACGCGATGTCATAATGCGATCTGATAATAGGTAAGCAAAATTGAATTATTCTGTGTTTTATATATATATATATATATATATATATATAAAAGACATCAACCAAAGATGTGAAATTGATGTACAGACCGCGCTTTTGAGCCTTGACAGTCTAAAAGCGTCTCCGAGTCTTTGTGGGTGTCGAATTATTTTTCACCCTCCAACCTCCTTCTCACATGTTGGATGTGGCAAGCCTCTCGCTACTTTCACAAAACTTTTTCTGTTTCTTAACATAACCCTCTACCTCGAGTGGTCCATGGACCCTTGTAAAGCGTGAACCTTACTGTAAAAAAAAAAAAAAGCCTTATGCCATAAATTGATACTCAAAATGCAATGTTACAGTATTTAGTTGACAAATGAAAAACACTGACGAAAATCAGTTACCAAACAGCATTAAATGTAACCTGATTTTTATATCTATATAATACTAAATGTCTGTGATTCTTGCTTGCGTGGTGCGTCATCCGTCCGGCGAATAATAATGATTTAAGTTTCTTTCCACCTCTCTGTGATTGCTTGTGTGGTGCATCCGTCCAACGCATAATGAATTAAGTGAATAAGATTTCAAAGTACGAGTTTTTTTATGTAGTATCTTTATTTTAACTTTAAGACGGTTTTTTTTTTTAATTAAAATATTTATAAGTTAAAGACACAAATATTTTTTGGCATATTAAAAAATATTTTTAAATTAACCTGATTTTTAAAAAATATTTTAAGCAAATAAGATTTAAGAATACGGTAAGTATTTTTATTTCAACTTTCTTCTGACAATTTTTAAAATTTAGAAATCAACTCTGTTTTATAGCCTGTCGAGTCATGGGTAGTCGTTTTCTTTATAAAAAACAAATAATAATGAGTCCAGAGACTAAATTAATAAACCATTTTATTTTCATATATATATATATATCACACTTAAGATGTGCTATATTTATGGGATAAAGTGATCAATATCAGATAGTGTGTGAATATAAAAGTGAACATTGAAGTCAACACTTAGAGACAACAGGCTGTTTCATGCTAGACGCAATCGTCAAGCCAAGTTTTTTTTTTGTTTTTGGCTATTTATATATACGGGTCAGTGGTGCATTGTGGGTAGCCTATTTCGGCGGTTATTTTGCCGTTTATTTGTTAATTTAACCCAAATAAACGACTTCCGCCAAAATAGACTACCCACAATGCACCACTGACCCGTACATATAAATAGCCAAGAAAAAAAACACAAAAAAACAACAGTCGTGGCTTGATGTGTGTATGTATGTAGAAGTAATGAGTAATTATATCAAACGTACACAATCGTAGTAAGGTGGAGGTATATTGATTTTGAAAACTAAAAGGCTCACTTTTCATTGAATGTTCTTTGTACAGAATCTAATATTGCCCAATAATACAAACTTTAACCTGTTCAATAATATAAAATACTAAATAACTTGAATGGAATTATCGGCCAATCAGCCTGATCTTCGCTTGTCACTAATGAATGAGATTCCGTTATTTTGGTAACAGTAACATACTACTCTGTACTAACTTGCGAACAATATCTCTTATTTAGGATTACGAAAATATAGCCCACCTACGTTTATCTCAAATATAAATTTCACTTGACCAACTGAGTATATTGTCTACAGTATTTACATCGTTCGTACTGTTCTTATATTTGTCATTTCGTCAGTTGTACGCTCCAGCCTTCTTCATGAAATATAAGTTGAAATTTCGAACCGAACCCTTTATTGAGTCCACGGGGGTAGAATGATCTAATTCCACGTGCCATGCCTTTTTCTGGATATCTGTTTCAGTTAAATCCCTTTAGTAACTCTCCAGGTTTTTGTTCCCTTTGCTGTGATAAGATAGTGAATTCACAATTCTTTATGTAAAGCCACTTAGAGAGTTGAGTTACGAAAGGGAATTAACTGAAACTGAGATATTCAGGAAACGCATGGCAATATGGAATTAGAACAATCTACCCCTGTAGGTTCGGTTCGAATTTCCAACGTATATCACCTGAAGAAGGCCAGAGCGTACAACGGCTGAAACGCCGTGAATGTAGCAATAAAGAGGGCAGCCGTCCGAACGATGTAAATATTTAAAATACCTCCAAAATCTTTGTCATATTTTCAGTGTTTTTATTTGTGATCAGTAACCGCATACGAATACCTTTACCCCTAACGGGTGGGAGCCTGAATCTAACTTTTTTTTCCTCGCCATCTACTTTAGAGTTTAATCTATTGAATGAAAAATTAACATCGAAATATTTTTTTTTCTTTTTTTAAGGTGTGACATTTGTGTCGAGTGAACGTTCAAATGTGTCGTAAAATTGTTGGTATTACGACATATCACCTTATTTAATGTCGAAATCTTTGTGTGATTGTATTTTGTTTTCTAGGTCGGGTTAATATTTGTGAGGCGTTGCCCCCTCTACATAAAGCATTCGATGTATTCTAGTTCTCCGGGGACACTAGATCTACCTCAGCATCATCATGGTCATTTTGTTTGTCCCCTAATTTTAGACCTCCACTAATTCCTAAATGTCTGCTTCTATACTGTGTGTTCACGCTGGTTTACTTTATTTTTTTGTCACCATAAAAGTTGTTTCCATTTTATGTCTACTTCAGAAAACCCTCATTTTAAGATGATAGTGGTTAATCTGAAGGAAGATAAAAAAAATTCGACTTTGTTCTTTTAGCTACAGATCTCAACTTGATAGATAAATTATAGATGTCTTATAAAAACGTGTGCAAGTATATAAAGGATGACACTGCAAAATGCTTCGGACGAAGCTCATGATAAACAGTGACATTATCAGCAAGTAATCTTATAAATTTTCACTTCTCAAGCTTCCTATTGCTAAGCTGAGACAAGCCCCAGTAGTGGACTATAAATAAGCATCCAACTCTTTACACCAGGTAATTCGTGTAGGTTATTAGGTGTTTAAGTACAACGTTATATTAAGTACTTTCTATAAAACTGGTTTACAAAAAAAAAAAACATTTCCTCTGAGTAAAACATGCGAATGGATGTTTTTTTTCTCAACAATTTGCTTTCACATAGCATATTTTTTTTATACTGCATATAAATTTAAAATTTTTTTATCTGTTACAAAAAAAAATAATTTTTTTTAAGCATTTCACCCCAAGCAAGGCGGGAGTGCCACTAGCACGCAAAGTGTAACAAAGAGCAAGAGGATTGTTTGAGGAAAGGATATAAAAAGGACGGGCATCAGGATCAATTGGCATTAGATTTGAATATTATAGCTATTAGGGAAGCAAGCGATCAAGTAAGAGGAAGGGAGTTCCATTGTAGGGAAGTGCCAGAGAAGAAGCTGTTGGGGTAGAAGAGGCGGTTACATTTCACCGTCGAAAGCGTGGGACCGAGATGGCAACCTAGTAGCACGCTTAAATTCATGACAGACTGACTTATATTAAATGTTTCCCCATGCTCTCCGTTCATTTAAGAAACTCTGCTATAGCACAATCTGTTTTCCATGTCGAAGAATGAGGCGAAGTCAGTGTGTCGTGCTCTGAAAATGGTGAACCTTACATTAACCAGGTTCCGCTGGGATTCCAGGAGCTCTGACTTGTGTTTAGATATGTACAAATCACATAAAAGGTCTTTCAGGTACAGACAGAACCAACCTAACCTAACCTAACATCTTGTGTAATCGGCTCTAATTTTTTTTATAAGATTCATAGCATATAATGGCTAATATGCAGTGAAGAAAACAATATTCGATTTTTTTGTTGAACGCGTCATATATGGTTACGTCCATTCGAATTTGAAAAGGATCCCATTACAATGCAATTAAACTTATCGTGTGGGGACCAAGCGTACAACACCGAAGACTGGCCATTATGCCATTTTTGTTTGTTGTTTTTTGTTAATGACAAGAATAAAATTTCTAACATTAAAAAAAATATAACAGTGTCTTACATAGGACACATCTGGTAGAATTGATTGCATGTACTTGTATACATTATACCTATATCTCAAAAACCAAAGGTAATGAGTGAAAATGGATTTCATATTTGAAATCACCACCCAAAAATTTGGTTAGAACACTTAGTAACTCACGCAAACATACAATTATGTAAAGCAGTGCAATTATTTTAAATATTCTACAAGAGTTTTTCTGAATCTGTAATCTTAAAAGCACTACGATTTTATCCAACCATGTTTTGCCTGGGCTTATCCTTGTG